TTTTTTTCATTCAAATTTTATCGATGACCTTCACTGGCTTAGAGAATCAAGGAATCATCAATATCATCACTGTCACCAGATCATATTGGACTTAGCAGCTTTGTACAAAATTCAAAGTATTTTGGTATACATGGTTATATAATGACGTGAATGACAACAATGAAATTCTGTTGCCATCAGCGATATCTGAGTTGTTTGGTGTAAAATCTTTCCTGCAGGATTTTTCCTGTGGAATTCGATTGGTTAGCGGTCGCCAGTGTCGCTCTTTAGAAAGGAAAATTACTTTCCAGTTTTCTGTTAGTCATGAAAATCCTCCCTGAGCTCAAGCTGAGCAAAGGTACACAATTCAATGGTTTGATTTTATTTCAACATTGCATAATAGAACTAAGTTAATAACGCTAGTTCCAGATGAGTCATACAGTAAAATCAAAACTTGCTTTCTTACAATAAAAAAACGCTTCCTTTGGTAACGATTTTAAAATTAAGTGAGAAAAAATAATAGAGAGACAAGACGGAAAATGTGTGATATTTGTCACTACCAAAACATTACCATCCATGAATTTACGCAGGTAGGTAAAACTCTGGTCAAACACGCAAAATAAACTCACGAGAAATGTCGAGCATCTCATTTTCTGAGAATAAATATTTACTCTGCGTAGCTTTTTCACCTGCAAACTTGAAGACCAACTTTACAAGTGCTGTAAATTCCTACCCAACACATCTGTCTAACTAATGTTGCAGTCTTTCCACCAACCGTGCTAGAATACTCCAATTTGCTCCCTGCCATATGAGATTAAGGCCTCGAATACTAATTAAAGAAATTCAGTTCGAGAAAAAAGTACATGCTGTAGACGTACTTTTGCTTAACTTTTTTCATTTTATACTCATTCTGAAGTGAAAACCATCACTTTTTGATCAGTTTAAGGTGAAATATTTTCTTTAATTCCTGTTGGGACGATCGTTCCAATGAAAAAACAAACAAACAAACATTGAATTGCATTTTGCTGCTTCTCCTCACTCCTCCGTGTTTTATCAATCCAGTTCACCAATTTCGGTGGGCAAATCTTGAGAGGCTAAGGTTAACGTTACCGGGATGGTTGAGTGATGCAAAGTTGATTGAAGGTATATCTTTGAGAATGTTTTAACTACTTACCGATTTGTTCCTATTTACAGACGCAAAACACAATGTTCCAAATCGTTATATTATCTGTTCTCGTGGGTTCAGCCCTGACCGCACAAGGTATGATGCTCATATGGGCTTAGGATTGTTTAACAACTATTTGCTAGCATTAGAGAATTGCAGAAATTAAATCTATCTTTTGAATAAATTAAATTAAATTACACTTGTACAAAACTTATGCTTTGGTGTTTAGTTTTTCTTTCTACGAGTGGAATATAAAAATGTTAGGGATAACTTAACTTTAACTTGTGCGCGTAAATACTCAAAAGACAGAAACAATAATTTATTTTTCCTTTCTTTTCTACTTCCCAGGGACCAAGTGGAAATATGGTGAAACAGGTATTATGAGTTGCTTCTTTTAAAAGACGTCCTTGGAGTTTTTTACTGACTTGATATATAGATATATGTGGATATGTTATTAATAATAAATTTAGAATACTCAACTGAACTGTAATGTTAAGAATTGAACTTGAAATTCGCAAAACGTATTAATGGCAATTATCTTTTCATCTAAACATAAAGTGATCACGAGTCTTTGCAAACATGTATTTAATTTTATACGCAGACAAAGTCCATAAAATCTATGGTCCGAAAGACTGGGGAAAGGTTTCAAAGTTTTGTGACGGGAGCGCCCAGTCCCCAATAAATATTGAAACCCGCTCGGTGGAAAATGACGGAAGTCTGAAGGCACTCCGGTTTTTAGCTGAGAATCGGTATGGAAGAGTCAGCGGTGTTCTAGAGAACAATGGTCATGCTCCTACCCTGGCAATAGATAAACCAAGGGGTACTTCAACACTCACCGGAGGTCCCTTGGGGAACAGCGTGTATAAGCTTCAGCAGTTGCACATTCATTTTGGTTGTAAGAACAACAAAGGATCTGAACACACTGTCAACGGAAAGGCATTCTCAGGAGAGGTAATGGGACACAATTAGTGATTAGAGCATTATCTGGAGGGGCAATAAGGAGATGATCGAATTTATGTAGCGAGCCTGTATAAAAAAGGTTGCCTTTGCGAACGATATCTATAAAGCAACGAAACGAGAAAATTTCTGTCCATATCCGAACGAGATCACAGTTTTAGTGTGAGTTGCCAAATACTCAGTTTTCCTAAAAGTATAAGTATTTTATAGTTGAACATCTTTGTTGTTTAAGTTCAAGGTAAATGGTAAAACATGCTTTTCCTTTTCAGCTTCATTTGGTGCACTATAACACGAAGTATGGAGATTTTAAAACTGCTGTGGACAAACGAGACGGACTGGCTGTGATTGGTGTCTTTTTACAGGTAAAAAAGATGTTATCATTTTGTTTCAAGTCAACCTAGCGCTGATGAATGGTGAGGAAAGCCAGCAAAAATCAACGGTGAAAACAGAAGTGCTGCAATTTATGTTTCAATTTTTCTTATTGAGCTCTACTTTTGTTTTGTGTTCACACACGCTGACTAAATAAATCGATGGGATTTCTTTATTGGTCCGTCCACTCAAAAAGGTTGGAATGCTTTTGAACGAAGTGCATAGTCAACAGACAAATCCGTCGGCAGGGGCGTAACCAGAATTTTTCCAAGGGGGAGTTCACACTTCGTTAAACAGAGGGTACTCAGCAGATTTTCATGTCCTTCTCCACACAGTGTTTTACTTAGT